ATATTCTGCAATTAAAGATTTTAATTCAGCTCTAAATTCTGGTAAGTCATCAATTGGTGCACTTGCTGCTTCACCCGATTTGTAATGTTCTTTTATACCTTTTCTTTTTTTAAAATTAGTAAGCCATCCCTATTAAAATGATTAAAATAAAACGAAATTTAATAAATAAAATAATCAAAATAAAACGAAATTTAATAAATAAAATAATCAAAAATTGATACTTACTTGTGAGGCTGGAAATCCAATAATTTCGAGTCTTCTAGCATAATCCAGTGCCTTTTGACAAATGATGGAACCAGTTATGGTATTATTGGCTCTATTGGCATTATCAATCCAAATTGCTAATGCTTCTTCCAATTGTGGCCATTCACCTCCACGATCTCGTTTAGTAGCACCTGAGCTCTCAGTAATTGCAAGCCATTTCGCCTTATCTCCAAGGATATCTCCTACAGTTGATTTACCAATTCCGAATTTATTACCAATTTCTTCGTATGTCTTGCTTGGATTGGCATTCTTATATTCACATAGTTCTTTTTTTTGAATATTAGTAAGTGTAACTAATTTTCTTCCTTTTTTGCTTCCGAATCTACTGGATGTTCCTTCCATAATTATAATTGGTTTGTTATTAAGGGGAGATGGAAAAGTTAATAAAATAAAAAGACAGGTAATAAATGAGTTAAAAGGATAATTCTGATTATTTGAAATTCAGAAGGTTGGGAGAAATCTACCCCTTTTATACATATTTTTGAACATAATAAATCGTGGATTATTAATGATGAATTAATGACAACAAATTGCGAATTATTTAATGATGAGGTAAATAAATCATGAATTACTTAATTATGAGACAACAAATTGCGAATTATTTAATGATGAGGTAAATAAATCATGAATTACTTAATGATGAGACAACAAATTGCGAATTATTTAATGATGAGACAACAAATCGCGAATTTATTTAATGATGAGATATTAAATGACATAATTGATAAATATAACAATAAAATACATTATTTGCAAAGATAAAATTTTTAAAATGATTATAATTGATGATGATATTATTCACGAAACGGATTTATTACAAATCATGAATAATGACGAAATTATTATTACAAAAATTTATTGGATCATACATTACTAAAAATAGTAAAGATTATCTCTCAAGATTTACGAAAATCACGTGAACCGACTTATCGAGAGTCATTTATTATTATCTGGCTGGAAGAGTTGTCCGACTTACAGCTTAACAAGAGTTTATATGTGTGTCCGACTTATCAAGAAATTTTTAAATATAAAAAAAAAGGGCTGGAAATTTTTGTCCGAGTTAGGCCAAATCCGACTTATCGAGTGTCCGACTTATCGAGTTTACCTGTGTAACATTTTTATCAAGGTATCACATAATTTACTTATTGAAATGAGTCAAATCCGCCCATATGGTTGTTATATAAGGCTTTGGGATGAGAGAAGCATAGTAGAAATTTGAAATGTTACACTAATTTTTTATATTGTGCAACGTAGCTTTACAATACACGGCGGCAAACATTCTGGCAATAAAAAGTAAATGATAAACTGGATTTGAATTTGATCCGAACTTGATCTCCAATAACAACAACTATACACTGGCGAAATTTCAGAAGCAATGAGTTCTGTACAACATTTAGTGTAACAACAAACTTCCACTATGCTGATGAGAGAGGATTATTAAAGTGTTTTATTCAAAAGAATCTATTCTTATAGGAAAAAATGTAACCTGATATAATGGGGAAGTGTTTTCTAAACTCGTTTGTATCGTATATGAGATGATCAGCCAAAAAAATCTAGAATCGATTTCTATATTTGGTATATTCCCTGACTGTACTGTAGTAAGTAAAAATCAATTTTTATTTGGCAGTCTTAATAATCAAATAACTAATATTTTTTAATTTGGGAATTAATTTGGTGGTGGTGCAACCAGTGCTGATATTTTACATACACAAACATCATTATATAAAAATAGAGAACCACTTTTTACAGAAAAATTTGTTGAGTCAACTGATAATGTTAGAAATTGGTTGAATTCTTGTGAATCAAGATTTCATTTGTGTTTTAGCTTTAAAATTAGCTGCCATCACACCACACAATGAGGCCTGTGTGAACATATTTTTTCTATTCTATAATTGTTCGCCATTCTTAATAAGTGATCATCACTGTATCTGTAATGCCATAATTAGTCTTTCATAGTTGCCATAATTAACTTTAATAGTTGCCATAATTATTTCCATAATTATTTGAACTCTAGGTCAACTGGCATATTGATATATAGTTATTTTATATAAGAATGTTGAGGATCAATAATTATTGCCATAACCACTTTTGTACATGGGAAGATGTATTGTAGAACTAAGTTTCTTATAATGATTTTAGTCCTCTTTGCTTATATATTACATTTATATTAAAATTAATGTAGCACATTTAGAAAGTGTGGCAAAAATTCACTCTCTTCTGATTACTAATTGGAACAGAAGTATCAAAAGATCTAATACATTTGATGAAATAGCAAATGTTATGATTAATGATAATGAAATGAAGATTATGATAACAACTTGGTTGAATCCGATATTGATGATAGTGATGAACCTTTGGATATATAGGTGGGGAAAATACTTAATGTTTAGATATAGAAATATTAAGAGTTTATTGAGCATGTGATATTAATTTTGATGTTGATGCTTTTTAATAAATTTTTGTTAATATTAAGAATAAATAATATTTGGAACTTTGGAACTGGAATTGGGACTTTGGGACGAATTTGGGATGACTACCACTGGGATTTGGAATTGGGCAATAATAAAAGTTTGCTTAATATACCAGGAAGTTTCTTTTGTAAAAGACAACTAAAATAATATTTTTTTTTAATGTTAACTCACTTCCAAATTCAATTTATTCTATACACAGTCTTTATCCCAAAAGTTAAAATGCGAAAAGTGTCAAAGAACCATCAAAAGTGTTATTTACCAAAAGGTTAAAAAAGTAGCAATAACTACTCAATACACAGGTTTTATAGAAAAAGAAAAATATTGCTACCAGAAAGAATAAAAGTAAATTTAAAACTTTTGTGTTTTTGTTAAAAAGAAATTTTTTATTGAATGTTCACTATTTTATTGTGACAACAGATATCATAGCAGATGGTAAATTATGTGTTCGTTAACTGCTAACCAAACAATAAATGATATTATCAATAGCAATGTGATTGCTGCTTTGATTTTGTCTTGAAAAAAGTGTTTTTCGAAAATAACCAACAATCCTTTAACAAAGAAAATCTGCATTTTATAATCTTACTGATTTTATGTAAAGATAGTCCCCAAAGAGGTATAACAGGATTTTGAGGTGATTCAACAACTAATAGAATGTTATTTATATTGTTAATATCAGATCCATTTCTTTTTCTTCCATTTCTTTTAGATCCATTATTTAACTTTGCTGTTTTATTTATTAGATCATCTATATGAATTATAAAATTTTCAATTTATATCTTTCCATTTCACCACCATATAATATCCTCATTTTTAATAATAACAATATCATTGTATTTTATTTGATGATTATACTAATTACATGAATTAACAACACCAAATCTTTAAATAAATAGACAATTAACTGATTAATTAATTATTCTCATCGATACTGAAGGATGATGATGAACCAAAATCAATTTCTCTTCTTGGAATCATTTTTTCCTTTTTTTCCTTTTTATTCTTTTTACTTTTAGGTTTCACACCACTGCTGCTAATGCTACTACTACTAACACTAACACTACTATTATCAATGTCACTGATATTAAAATTATTACTTGTCAAATCAGTTATGTTATCTGATTTTGATTGTTGTTGTTGTTGTAAAAGTTGATTTGGATTAACAACTTTTGCTGCTAAAACTGTTTGATCAAAATTTCTTTCGCGTTCATGAATTTTAGCAAATTGATTTAATTGGTATTGTTTGATAAGTTTCAATTGATTAGCTCTGTGTTTTAGAATTTTAGTTGATGATGAAATTGTAACCATGGTTTTACGTATGGATTGAAGCTTTGAAAGATATTTTGGTAATTTGGAAAACTTTTTTTTCATAAAAAATTTTTTGATTTAGAAACAATTCTTATATATATATTATACACTCAAAAGGAATGAATGAATGAAAACAAACACTTAATGCAATGTATTCATAATGATCTTGATTTTCTAATTTGGTGTTTGTTAATTTTATTTCTTCCAATAATAATTTTTGTCTCTCCCTGAAATTACAAATATCATCATCATTATTAATAATACCTAATAATAATACAATCGATTAATTAATATGCTCACATCAATTCCTTTAATTTACTTTCTATTTGATTTATAATTGGCAACCAGCTCACTAGAAAGCCTTCAGATAAAAAAGGTATTGAATCATTTAAACTGTTTTGTAACTCTGTCGAACTTTCATCATTGCCGTCATTTATTTTGTTTCTCAATGGTAAAGAGGAGGAGGAAGAGGAGGAAGATGCTGTGGTTGCTAATGCTGCTAGATCAGGTGATACAAATTCTAATAATGTTAATGCTGCTGTTTCTACTGCTGTTTCCAATGTTATCTCTCTTGGCATCTTTTTAATAATAATAATAATTGAATTAAAATATGTAGAGAACGATGGAAGAATGAAAAGAATGGAAAAAAAATGGAGAATATAAATCCTAAATTAAAAAATATTTTTACCTGAATGATTTTTTGTCTGTAAATTTTCACAATATTAAAATACACATAGTTGCACACAAAAAAATTTTTTAGATTTGAAATAAAATTGATTTTAAATTTTTTTTTTCTTTAGAAGAATAATTTAGAAGAATAATTTTAAAGTTTAAAAAACATGACCGGCTTGGGTGAAAAAGTTTCAACTTCAACGATAACTCCTAATACTCCTGATTCTACTACTACACCATCATCGTGGGGGTTTGTTTCCTTATTTAAAAACATATCAGATTATCGAAAGAAACTAAATTTGCCCAATCCGGGCACTTTTGAAAATCTACATCGCGAGGTTAAAGGTATGAATTATATATAATCGATCGAAGAAAAGGCGAGAGACAAAAATTTGTATATGTGTGCGTGCGTGTGTGTGTGTGTGTATACATAAATTTAAGCAAAAAGCCTGTGGTTAAAATCATTGGTAATCATTAAATATGTAAAGATCGCGTCCAGGGTTTTAAAAGGATTGATTATACGCGTATTCATTGACTAAGAGCTTTTCCAAACATACGGTCTTTGTTTCTTTTAATTTTTTTACCACTGCAGCGACATTCCTTACGAATCATTTATTCGATGGTGCTAGAGTCGACCTTACTAAAGTCTTATCACAAAACATGCAAGTCACACATTCATTTTCTATGGGTTCCACGGTAACTCCTCCATTGTATAATTTTGGTGCTGCTTTTATCGGTGCGAAAGTTAGTATCAATTATTTTTAATTTTAATTATTTGATTTAATAATTTAATAATTTTTCAAATTTTCAATAAAATCTATATGTGTGTGTAATGTTAGTCATTTCTTCATGGTACAATTGATACAGATGGTAGTTTAACAGCGCGTATGAATTATGCATGGAATGCAAACAATGTGACAAAAATACAAGCTCATGTGAGAAAATATCTATCTAAAATATAAGGGAATTTCAATATAATAATATAAAATATAAATTAATATATAAATCTTCTTTTAACTAACAATAATAAATATTATTATAAAGGTATCGCCTACACCAGGGCATTCGATGCTTCAACTTGAACAAGATTATCAGGGTTCAGATTATTCCGTCAATTGTAAAACTATTAACCCATCACCAGTGGAACAAACTGGTATTTTTGTTATGAGTTATTTTCAATCTGTAACGCAAAAACTTGCCATGGGAGTTGAAACGGTATATCAGAAGCCGACGCCTGACATTGAAGAAACATCGAAATCATTGGTTTTAAAATACAGCGGAAATGATTACGTCACAACAGTCCAATGGCAGGAAGTTGGTGCTCTACAGGCTTCTTACTATCAAAAAATTAATGAAAAAGTGGATTTTGGAACTGAACTTCAGATTATTTTAGCAGCTGGTCGAAGAGAAGCTGTGTGTACAGTAGTATGTAGCTGATCATCATCTCTGGTGTTAGTCTCTCTCACTCTCACTCGCTTTGTCCAGCAGCCATCCAAAGCCGTTGCTAATTGTTCGAATTTGTTTTCAAGGGTGGAAAATTCGATTTTAGAGCCGCAACGTTTAGAGGACAGGTAAAAAAATTTTATTTTCGAACAATCGATTTGCTGCTATCACTAATAAAATTTTTGTCACAATTTTATGGTGAATCGACAACTAACGCTACTACCATACATATAATTCAACTAAATTATAGGTAGATACGACTGGTCGTGTAAGTGCGGTGATAGAACAAAAGATTGTCCCTGGATTTAGTTTTCTTGTCACTGGTGATATTGAACACATGAAGGTTTGTTTGTTTATAACTAATAATAATAAATAATTCTACCATAGTTAATTATATTTAATTAATATTTTTTTTAAATAAAAAAAAATTTAGAATACATCGAAATTTGGAGTTGGATTCCAATTGGAGCAATAGACCTCTGCACCCGCCTGCCTACCTACCTGCCTACCTGCCTACCTACCTACCTACCTACATATCTTCTATCTACCTATCTATTTATCTATCTACATACCTCTTTTAATTTCATACTTTTATTTGTACACATGAAAAAAAAGCCAATTTTTTTTAAAAAATAAATTTAATTAATTATTCTTAAATTATTAAGAATCGACAGATTAATCTATCCTTTTCAACTATATAGCACATTCAGTCAATATGCACACAATTCAATATATCAGATTTATGTCTAACTTGTTCAATCAATCGATCATCATTCAATTTGTCAATCTATCCAGTTCGTTTAATCTACTCAATCTACTCAATCTACTCAATCTACTCAATCTACAATAACTTGCCTAACTTATTCTTTATGTATAACAATTTATTGTTTTTTTATCTATTTATAAAATATGAGATTTCTCAGCATCTAATGATTTATTTATATTAATAGGTAAATCTGAAATAATAAAATTTTTTTTTGGTATTATTATCTTTATTTATATATGTGTGTTGTTGTTGAGAATATATATATATATATAATATAATAACCAATATATACATATATATCAAAAATTAATGAACAAATAAATTAAAAAAAAAGTTTTTGATTTTTTCTTTATATAAAATCTTGTCTATTTTAATATTAATAATAAAAGGTTATAATGATAATTACAACAAATATATATAATTTTTATGTATTTAAAGTATTTAAAAGTATTTAAAGTATTTAAAGAATATGGTAAAGTTAAAAATAGAAATAATATATATCATTCTTAACGCTTGTTCCAATTAAATTGATTAAAGTAGAAATTAAAAAATTAGAAATTAAATTAAAGTATAAAAAAATAATGTAAAAATTTACCACAATTACAATAATAATAACCACAAAAAATTTTCTTTTCAAGTTAAATCTACGAAATATAGAAATCACAAGCTGTAATATGTATGTATTATTATTATTTTTTGGTAGAAAAAAAAAGAATTTTACAACAATTAAATAAAGTCAAATCTATGGGATGATTACGAGATGATGGTGGTGTGTAAGTTTGTGCAAGTGTATGGGTTACAAATTAGTTATAACTAATTATTTTGAAAGCATATAGTTTTGATCGAACCATATAATCTTCATATACATATCTAGATACAAGTTTAAAAATGAATACATGTGTGTCCAAAATAATAATCCAAAATAAAAAAAAATAAAAACCTATTATTATTGATCATTCATCTTGATTATGATGAGGCCCAATAGGAGAATGAAATCCAGGTGGTGAATGTGTAGAGAAAATAAATGCTTCTATTTGTCGTTTTGTAGTCTGTGGATCTTTTGATAAATTGCTAATTAAAGAAAAAAGTAAAATTTATTATTGGTTTTTTTTTAGGGAGTTGTTATTCGCACCCCTCCCGTGACTATGTGTATTAATGTGACCAATGAATGGCTTTAAATGTGATGATTTTATTGGTTCATCTTTGTCTTAGTCACGGGAGGGGTGCGAACAACAATTCTCTTTTTTTATTATTTAATTAAAAAATTTTACTTACTGTATTTGTTTAAAATTAAATTCATTATTTTCGTTAACAAAATATCTCGATCTCCAATCGATCCCTTCTATTTCTCTAAGCTTAGCCTCATTGCGTTGATTATCTTCAATTAATGTTTTTTCATCTGTAGCAAGATCTAAATTTCTCCCTATCAAAGCACTTGTAACTTTTGACCATAACCTAGAATAAACAATTTCATTAATGAATCATAATCTGGAACCCAGGAAGGAGGATGAATATATTGATTTAATGAATATCAAATTATTATTCATCCATACCTTCTAGATTCATTTTCTTCTTGTTCTTCTTCTTGAGCAACAATCTTTGGATGTATCTTTGAATCATGTGCATTGAACAAAACCTCCTTATTTCCTGTCTATTTAAAATTCATAGTAATCATAATCAATTACATGATGATGACAATAAATTTAATTTACTATTTATTTTATTTTATTTTTTAAGTGCATACCTGAATATCTTTGATATATATGATTTCTGACCATTTTCCTGTAATTTCATAAAGAACCTCACCCGTTGATTCGCGTTTTATCTTTCCATAAATTGAATTATATGCACCACTAAAAAACCCCTAAAATAAAATAAAACTTGTTTAAATTTTTACATATTTGCATCTAAATTATTAATATTTCTTCAAAACTTACTTTTGTTCGAAATTCCAATTCACATGTTAAATCATTTTTTCCGCATTTAACAGTAGAATTATCGCCTAATTCCATTACCATTCTTCCGAAAAGAATCCCTCGTGCATAAACATTTGGCATTGCAATTCGATAAACTTCTCCAGAACGGTTTGTAAAATATATTTTAGATTCACCTTGCATCAAAGTTGCTGCACTGTTTCCTAAAAATTTAGATTTTGGTCTTATATCTCCTGAAATGATCAAATTATTTTCCGGACTTGCATAATAATAAGCGGAAATGGGTGGATGGTGAGAAACTTGTTCAGATACAAAAAAAGCTTCTGTTTTGTCAGGAAATACCCATTTTGCGCGAAAATGTTCACCCAAAACAGGATTATATGGTTTTTTGACACCCTTAAAAAATTTAAATAAAAAAACCCCGTTAAAATCAAATAAAAAAAAATTTTTTTTTGGAAATTAGAAATGTACCTTTGGTTTTATATGCCATCCTGATAAATAATATCTTACAACGCTTACAAATCGGATTACTGGATCTTCTTGTTTTGCGACACTTGGTAGGAGGTACAACAAATAAAAGTTTATTTGACAATAATATTAATAATTATTATTATTATAATAGTATAAACAAATTGAATAATTGAACAATACATATATAAATAAAACAATTGATCTAATCTAAATAACTAAGATTTATTTATTAGCTGTTGATCTACAACAAGAACAAATTTCTTCTTGGATATTTAATCAAAACTACCTTAAAATGAGCTCAGGGTGACTCATAAAATCCGTAATTCTTTCTAACATACTTCTCGGTTCTAAAACAAAGGTTGGCAAAGTAACTCGATGTAAATCCATCCCTTTTCGTAATTGAGAGATGAGCCCTAATAAAATACTGCGAGGTTCTTCGTCGAGAACCTCTGTATCAATTGCATCTTCGTCTCCCATTTTATTTGTTTATATATCTATATGTATCGTTTATTTGGAATTTAATAAAAAAAATTTAAATTTTTTTTCAAGTAAATCAATTTCTAATTTATTTTACCCTTTGTTTGTTTTCTTGTGTTCAGTGTATGATGCAAATCTATTTTTTCATTGTTGATCAAATTTTTTGGCCAAAATTTAAATATGACGCAACAATCAGAACAATATGAAGTCAGCGAAGAAGAATGGAGTGTTTATAATATAATACAAGGACGTGGTACTGTATGTGTATTATTGACAATTTTTGATTCCGTACTCTGATCGCAAAATGAAAAGCATTTCTAACGAAATAAACTGATAAATACCCCACACTAGGGATTTATAGATGATATTAAAATTTCTGAATTGGTTAATAAGTCACTGCTGGGGGTCAGTTGGGGCAATTTAAAAGAAATATTAAATAATTTATATGCATTTGTAGGTTTAATGTTGTTATTGATGATATTTAATGATATTAAACAATTTGAATATTAACTGATATTATTATTATGTTTAGGGATTATTAAGAAAAAAACAAACTAATGATGATAGATGTTTATATCAAGCTCGACCTAAAGAAATTTATAGCAAGTCAGTATCAAGAATATTTTTTAATGCAACTCACATATATATATAATATTTATTTCTGTATATAATACTTTCTATATATATACATATATCTTGATTGCTTTTAGATTACAATTTCTTGATAACCAAGGATATGAGATTTTCGAACTTATAGAGAATTCAGAGAGAAGAGGTAATGTATATTGGGAGAAAGTTTAATGGATCTTTAATTTCTAAACGATTAATATATATACTAGGTATAGCAAAATCAGAAATTCAAAAACAAACAAAAATAGTATCATCTATTATTGATGATTCATTAAAAATGATGCAAGAACAAAAATTGGTCAAAGAAGTTAAACCAAAGGTAAATGATATTTATTAATAAAGATGATTATTATCAATTATTATTATTAAATGAAATTTTTTTTAGAGTAAGAAATTATATATGTTATATGATATCAAACCAGTTGATGAATCACTTAGCAGATTATTATATACGAATGGTGAAGCAGACACAGTTGTAGTAGAGGCTTTGAAAACACTATGTTATAATTTAGTTCATCATAGGGTAAATAAACAAATAAAAATATATGATTTATTATTATGGGTTTATTATTAATGAATCCAATAATTTTAGAGTTTTCCTAAAAGTTCAAATGATGAAGGTATATTCATTCCAGGTTATACTGGATATCCAACATTGGAAAAGATTTTGCAATGTGTACAAGACGCAAAAATTACAGATATTGAAGTTGAAGAGTCTGATATAAGACAAATTCTTGATCTGTTAGTGTATGAAGGCAAGATTGTAAAAAGAACTGTTCCTATCATCAGTTCAATGGTATCAGAAAGTTTAGATCATATAGAAATACAGAATAATAATAGTAACCATAGTAGTAGTATTAGCAGTGGTAATAACATTAAGGCATCAACATCAATATCAGTACAAAGCACACAAATTGTTTTTGTTGCTAAAAAATCCAGATCTTTGGAAAATGCGTGGACTCAAATACCATGTGGCAGATGTCCAGTAAGTGTCACCATAGTATTCATTTATTTATCATTTATTAGTGATTGATTTATCATCTTAATATTCTATTAAAATAGTTTTTTAAGAATGAATGTTCAGAGGATGGAGAAATATCACCATCTAATTGTATATTTTATCAACAATGGTTGGCTAAAGGATTGAATACAATTAATGACAAAAACAAGAGAAAAGATGAAGATTGGTAAAATAAATTATAATTATAATTTTTAGTCATCATGTTGTGACTATGTGATTTGTCATTAAAATTTTATCCAAGATTTTTTGTTACTACATTTCTGCTATATTAATATTTGCAAATCAAAATAGGACCTTGGATAATTATGTTTTAACTGGTATGTAAAGTAGCATATAAAATACTTTAAACTCTACCTCTAAATTTAATGCAATTCATACCATTTTTATTATACCAGTGCACAAATCTAGTTTTTTATACCCTGTTTTTCATGAATATATAGTGATGTACTTTTAATTATGTTGCATTTTGCATGATTATTAAAAAACCTCATCTGGATACTTTTTGGAGGGTAGTGTAAGTGCTTTTTTATACAATTGGCAAATCAATGAATAATAAAGTAATACTTCACTTATTTTTATATTTTACAAATCATGCTACATAAATATTGCTTTTTACAGGATCTTGAGCTTAGGCAAATGAATGAATTAATGAAAGCCAACAAGTGAGTGGGTGGCATTCTCAATCTTCAACCATGAATTACCAATTTAACTTTATTGTTGGATAATTGTGAATTTAAAAAATTAATAATATATTGCACATATATAAAATAATGGAAATAACTACTTGAATATATCACCATTCTAAAAAATTGTTTCTTGCTAAATTGTTTGCTCGTGTAAAGAGTTTGTAGTTAATGTTGAAAGCTAGTAATGATTCATTCAAAGGTAGTCTCATTTCTATTTATTACCACATACATACATACATACATACATACATACATACATACATACATACATACATACATACATACATACATACATACATA